TAAGCCATAGACAACCAATGTTTTACTCACTACTTACAAAGTTTAAAAGACAGGCATGAGTTTTTTAAAGCAAATAACTGGTATACTTTCACAAAAATGTCTAAATTAACTAAGTTCATCATCATCACAATATGTATAGCAAACTTATCTGGTTCATAGTACAGCATCTCAAAACAGAGAAATGTGGACACAAAAGAAAATAATTTTGTGGAGCTTGGGAAAAGCCCTTTAAAGAATTTAAGTGTGAAACACTTGACTTTCAACAAAAAGTATATGGGAAGAAATTTTAGCCACAACACTAAAGTAACATTTTCACAGATTCTCAAAATAGAAGAATATTATTCATTTACATCTCAGATTTCTTTTTTGGGGGGTGATAAAAATAAGAAGCAGATTTTGAGCTCTTATGTTTTTTTGAGTAAAATTTTCAAATTTTTTGAAGAATATATGTTTTCTTTGATAATGGACAAATGTTTATAAGAGATTAACTGATTCTAAATAACAATTCTAATTAAAATGGAATCTTTACCCAAGTAATAGAAATTACACTTTTCATATTACTGTGTTGTATTGTGTTGTGTTCTGTGTGGGTGCTCAGTCTTGCCCAACTCTCTGCAGACTCCATGGACTATAGACCACCAGGCTCCTAAGTCCATGGAGTTTTCCAGGCAAGGATACTTCAGTCAGGTTGCCATTTACTACTGCAGGGGATCTTCCTCACCCAGGGATTGAACTTGTGTCTCCTGTATTGCAGGCAGATTCTTTATCACTGTGCTACCTGGGAAGCCATTTTATATTATTAAGTTCATTTAATTCGGTCTCTTTCTTCTTCTCTTATGCCTTCTTCCTTCAACTTAAAAACAACATCTAAGCCTCTGTTCAAACTCTACATAAATAAGCATGGTTCTCTTGGGAACTTAAAGTTACAGTTAACAGACTTAGACATAGATTGCCTTAGATTAATAATTCTAACTATATGATTTTAGTAATCAGTGAAAAGAGAAAAGTCAAAATGTGAATGCAGCAAATCAACTATTTTAGAAGACAGGTCTAAAGTTAGACCTGGGGAAATGCCATTTATATAGTCTCTGTAAGGTACAGTATACTTTGTCAGACACTTAAAAGTAATCTGGCTATTTTAGGCATACCAATAAATCTGTTCACATTAAGTAATTATAGGGTAAAAACTAAAATGCAAGAAGATATTAAAGCACATACAATATTATGTATGCATCATGAACTTAATTTGGAATTCTTTGTGTTTTATAAAAAGTGGGAAGGTCAAAAGAAAAAAAAAGTGGGGGTGTAAGAGCTGAAAGAACTTCAATTTAGAAAAAGACATGAACTGCAATTATCTTCATGTGCCCTATTTAGAAAACATCTTGAAGCCATCTCTCCATGTTAAAAGAGAAGGTATTTATTGACTATATTTTTATCTTTCCATTAATTAGTTCTGCCTCAGAACTTATTCATTAAATACCTTAACACTTTTGACACATTAAAGAATTATGGAACTACCAAGAGGCAAAGATCCCACAGAATGAACTGCACCTGGTTTTTGGATTCAGAGATTTTAATTAATTTTAAAATGACCTCACCTCTACTTTTCAACTGGCAAATAAATCAGCGTAAGAGAGAGCAAGGCCTATTTATTTCTCCTATCAGATCAACTTAGACAAATTCTCATTTTTCTGAGGTATATGCAGATGGGGGGGGGGGATACAGTTTCTGTCTGACCCTTAATAAGGGTTGTGATGAAAAAGAAAAGAAATCAATGCTAAAAGTCACAACTGAGCTGAAGATAAAATAGTTACAAATATCTGTGTACCAAATAACACAGTAATAAACATTATAAATAGCAAACTACAGGAAATACAAAGAGACATAGATACAACACATTAAAAATAAAATAACATGCCACTCTCAGTTCTAGGATAGATAAAGAGGAAAAAAAATAAGTAAAGACACAGAAAACCTAATTAACTTACTCAATAAGGTTGAAAACCTTGATATATGCCAAACTTCATGTGCTGATAACTCTTGTAACTTTGTATTAAGTTTGCATATTTCAAAATTAGACTACCAAAAAATTAGAAATAAGAAAAAATAGGATTATAAAAAGAATGAACAGTCAGCATAGTGTCAGAAGTGATGTGGATGAGTTACTCCTTTTCCCTCTCCCTGTCCTAAAACATTGTTAAACATCTAAAGTGTTAAACAAAAAAACAAAAATCCTTTTTAATTATAAAAGAAAGTATTGTTGGCTTAGAAAAGTCTGAAAACATGCATCCCCAGTGGAAACCACACTGTGGTTGAAGTCACACAACAAGCTAGTGAGACAATCTACAAGTCAAGAAGCTGGTTCATTAAGAAAGACCCTTCTGGCAGGTTCCATGCCTCTTAGATGAAGCACAGGTGGCAACAGACACAGGCTTCAGCAGGCTTATAGGTGGAACCTATAAGCCACGTGAGCACAAGAGCATGTGTCTGGACCATGGCAGACACACTCCTTGGGGCATGTGGTGCAAACATCTCTCACATGTGACATCACACACCGTCTCCTGCAGAAACACTATAAGTCCACACTCCTACTCCACAAACTCCTCAGACTGCCCTCCTATAAAGCCAGATTGGTAGAAGGTGCAACACCAAGGCAGAGTTCTCAAAGTTTTTCTCCACAACTATCTTGTTACTGATGATCCAAATCACAGACACATGAGGATGTGACTTTGGCTAGCACTAGGGTACCTAGGTGACCCTTTGAGCCTCTCCAGCATCACGCCTTCCCACACCCCTGCCCCCGCACTTATTTCTTCCTTGGAAGATCACTTCCAGGGCAATTTATTTTTTTAAACAGAAACCTTTTGATTGCCTTTTGGCTGAGCTAATCTTTGTTAGAGACCCACAGAATAAAGGAAAGAAAGATTGCCAGAGCGGTATATATGTAATTTAATTCATTAAACCAAGAGATGAAAAATCTCTGAAATATCCAGATTTTTGAGGAGGATAAACAAAAAGCATTCATTCAAAGAAATAAAATATGACAAATATATGATGAAACTGGACCAATACCCAGAGGCTCTGTGCTCATTTTTACTGTGTCATTGGGCAAAACTAGCTACCATTTTATTTTAAAATGAAAAGAAAATGCATTTTGTCTGTTTCACTGAGCAAATGATTCCAGCTTAGCAGACCTAGCCCAGAGGCACTGCACTCAGGGCTTTCTCAATCCATCTTTTTAGAAAAGAAGCTAGCAAGGTGAAGCTGTGATGAAGAAAATGGGGCAAAACAAATGACAATGAATGCACAGTCTAGGAAATTTATCACAACAGTACTCATTGTAATATATTTGATGTCTGCTATCCCACTCACCATTGACATGAACATGTAGGAAAAAATATACCTGTTTTGGGCTTGTGTTTTATCATCTTCTTTAAGCAAACAAGAATTGTTGTAGTGTGTATATGCTACATTTTACCACGAAGGATTGTTCTGGTGAAAAGTACAGTTTTTATGATGTATTATATAACTCCTTTATGCTCCAGGAAACAAAGCAGACCACACACTATGCAACATTAAACACACCCAGAGTGCTGATTCTAAGAGCTGCATGCATTTTTCTAACCAAACAAAAAAATAAATAAAAATAAAAATAGCTTCTAAAAGAAATTTATGCATAAATGTAATATTATTTCTCAATAGTTAAAGGAAGTTTTATGAACAATAGTGTTCAGTTATTTGCATACTTGAACTATTTTTTGTAACCCTTACAAATTTATTGAACCTGTTTTCTTAGGAAGAGTCATTGTTTCTCAATTCTGTCTTTTTCAGGTAATTGTGCTTTTTGAACCAATCCTTCATTTTGGGGGCTGGATTTTGCTTTTGCAGTTTCTAAAATACACCAGTCAATCCTTTACTTATGAGAATAAGTAGCATTCAAGCTATGGTAGGTTGACCTCAGTAGCTAAAAAATCCAATAGTTTAAAAATTGAGCTCATTTTTCATGAGACAGAAGCCATGAAAAATGTAATCAAAAGAGAGCCGACATCCTACAATTCTAACTTATTTTACTTGAAAAAACACAAGAAATGATTCTCCTCTGGCCTCATTATTGCTTCCCTTTTTATCTATGTGGACTTCATGCTGCAGATATTTGAGCAGAAAATGATCTAAAATATCATTTAGCAATTTTTTACCAAGATAAAATGTAAAATGAATTACACTGTCCCCAAACATGCAATTTTTAAAATTTTTTTTTCACTCACATGTACTGTCACTGCCTTTTTTCATTAGTACAACTATATCAGGTCTCTGAATTTTAGAACAAATTTATTACTAGCTGAATAATTTTCCTCACTCATAAATATAGATAGGTAGAACCAGCTTTAAAAACCTAAGCTTACTTGCATTGTGATCATTTCAATATAACAGGTCAAATTCGTCTACCTCCTCATCACTTTCTGCTCATTACTTAGGTCCACTGCGAGCAAGCAGAAAGATTTGGGGAAAGATGATCTGTACTCAAGTACTAATTCTCAGGTAACTAGCTGAACCAGCCACTAAACTGGCTGGCTGTTGTTGGATGTATAAAGCCTCAGTTTATAAAACTCTAAAGGGAAGTGCTGATCTGCAAAGGTTCTGTTGTCCCTCTGAGACAAATACTGTAGGTTACTAACCTGACAATCTTTTCACAAGCCATTTTCACGCTTACCAACATGGAAGTTCAGTCACCCTAGGCTGTAATCACCTCTCGTCTAAAAGGCATTGTCGTATTGTTGCCAAAGAAAGTTTAATCAAACCCTCATGCAGCCCATTAAGCTATGACCAATACTAATGTTCTTTGCTGAAATGGCATTACTAGTAGTCACTGAGATTCATCATCTCATTAGTGACCCAATTTCCAAAGTCACCCAGCAATGGAAATTTCTCAGGAAAACCTGAGAAGTAAAACCTCTGAAACTGTTGCATGTTTGCTACTACATTAGGAAAGTTCACAGTACCTAAAATAGCCACCACCTCATCATCCTGGATGACTTCCAAGGATCCTGACACCACAAAGCAGAGGGCATCCACACTTTCTCCAGCATGGTAAATGAGGTCCCCAGGAGCACAGTGGATAGTTTGGAATTCTACTGCCAAGGCTCGCAGACACCCATCGCTGGCCAATCGAAAAGCAGGATGTTCATTAAAAACCTTCCGGTTTAGATGAACACAGATATCAGCTCTCATGTCCTTGGGACAGATGGAGAGGACCTGAAGAAAGTGAGAGATGAATAAGTAAGAAGAAAAAAGAGAGAAAGACTATTTCCAACAAAAAGGAATCTGACAAATACTGATTGACTACGGCACAGTCTGCAAAATGCCATATAGAGGAAAAAGGTAACGAGACACAGCTCTGCTCTGAAAGATCTAATAGTCCAGTGAGATGGGCTGATGAGCATATGGGCTATTACAACACAGCACCATGTAGGGAATCTCTGAGTGGGTATGGATCTCATCATGGAGAGAAGACAGTCTTAAGACAGCAGGGAAGAGTCTCAGAAAAGAATGTATTATAATGTCATCAAAAAAATAAATAAAATAGGTCATTAACATTCAGTTCAGTCTAGTTGCTACTTTATAATTTTTTTCATAACTACCTCAAAATTCAGGATAATGGACCTTACTACACATTAGAGAGGATTCATATTAACCAATTACAAGACAACAAAATCAACAAAAGCATCATTGCAATATGTCATGCAACTTGACGTGGCTGATAACAACTCCACTCTCCATATGTTTTCTTCACTCTGAAATATTTTTATTTTACTAATAAATTTATGTTCAGGGAGCTAAAGGGTATTCATCAGCCTTCTGTAAGGCTTAAAAAACTGGCATTGTCCACACTGACAGAGGTGGGCACTGCAGGCTGCGTAGTAGTCCTTGTTCATTCAGGTCTTTGACTCCTAAAGACTGCTGAGAGCAACAGCAGAATTCAAGCTCCGAGCACCATTTAGAAGAGAGGATAAATGGCAGAAACATGCTTAAAGAGAAGGAGGTAAAGAGATTTTATCCCCTGTAGCTTTCAGACAAGGCAATTAAAGACCCAGATTAAAATGGACATATAATCACATTATCGTCAGAGCATCATCGAGCAAGATATGATTATAGAAGTCAGGACAGTCCCTGTGAAAGGTGCATGTGCAAACTCAGAATCCTCTCCTGACTCCCTTGGTAAATTCTTCCTTATAATCAGAAATGTTTTTCTTTGATAGAATTTGAATCCCTTGAGCTGAAGTCTAAGTTGATTTGTCCTCATTAAATTATACTAAATAATGTTTTCATATAAAATAGTGTTCTTTCCTATGTTAACTGCATTTTAACCTTTAAAAAATGACTTAAGGCCTGGAATATTCCTTTCACTTGGAGCTCACTATCCATGAAAAGCAGGTTGCTTCTGTGTGTAGAAGATGAGCCATTGTAAATGTAAAGACCCTTAATTAAATTATACTTTCAATATCCATCCCCTTAACTTTTCCTAATACTGTGATACCACATCACATCACTTCAGGATCTGCGGATTTTTTCTTACTCTTCTGAATTCCTATATGCAATAGTGATCAGCTCTCCTATCTTTCTGAAAGAGTTCATCTTTGAAAAAAGGAACATCTAACAGAACTATAAAAGCAATTGGCACTTTCCACATCAGTTAGTTTCCATAACAATACAATGTTTTCTTTACTATATTAACTTTCAGTGACTCCTTAAAATATTAGTCTTTCAATGGGCACGTACTGGGCTTCTACCGTGAGGCATTTCATTGCATTAAATTCCTGGAAGTAGAAGGGTCTTTGCTTTGGCAGAGCTAACGATGAAGTAGGGGGAGGTAGGAGGTAAAAAGACAATTATAATATGGTGAGAAAAGTATGATAGGGGAATGGCCATGGTGACATGGAAGAGTGCCTAGAGGTATCATGAAAGATCAGCCTTAGGAGGTCATAGTTCTGGGTACAGATCTACCACTTACCTTTGTAACCTAATGCAACTTATTTATTACTCTGAATCTCATCTGTGAAATGGGATGATAGTGTTTATTTCATAGGTTCATTGTAGGAATTAAATGAAAGGATTTGAGTTTAGCCCAGTTTAGTCTTGCACATGGTAAATGTTAAAGAAAGGCTAGGCTTTGTTTTCCCTACCGAACATTTGAGTATTCCAACAAAATGTAATGCTTTTTTTAGCTCTTTTTTTTTCCATTTATTTTTATTAGTTGGAGGCTAATTACTTTACAACATTGCAGTGGTTTTTGTCATACACTGAAATGAATTAGCCATGGTTTTACATGTATTCCCCATCCCGGTCCCCCCTCCCACCTCCCTCTCCACCCGATCCCTCTAGGTCTTCCCAGTGCACCAGGCCCGAGCACTTGTCTCATGCATCCAACCTGGGCTGGTGATCTGTTTCACCCTAGATAATATACATGTTTCGATGCTGTTCTCTTGAAACATCCCACCCTCGCCTTCTCGCACAGAGTCCACAATTCTGTTCTATACATCTGAGTCTCTTTTTCTGTTTTGCATATAGAGTTATCGTTACCATCTTTCTAAATTCCATATATATGTGTTAGTATACTGTAATGGTCTTTATCTTTCTGGCTTACTTCACTCTGTATAATGGGCTCCAGTTTCATCCATCTCATTAGAACTGATTCAAATGAATTCTTTTTAATGGCTGAGTAATATTCCATGGTGTATATGTACCACAGCTTCTTTATCCATTCGTCTGCTGATGGACATCTAGGTTGCTTCCATGTCCTGGCTATTATAAACAGTGCTACGATGAACATTGGGGTGCATGTGTCTCTTTCAGATCTGGTTTCCTCGGTGTGTATGCCCAGGAGTGGGATTGCTGGGTCATATGGCAGTTCTATTTCCAACTTTTTAAGAAATCTCCACACTGTTTTCCATAGTGGCTGTACTAATTTGCATTCCCACCAACAGTGTAAGAGGGTTCCCTTTTCTCCACACCCTCTCCAGCATTTATTGCTTGTAGACTTTTGGATAGCAGCCATCCTGACTGGCGTGTAATGGTACCTCATTGTGGTTTTGATTTGCATTTCTCTGATAATGAGTGATGTTGAGCATCTTTTCATGTGTTTGTTAGCCATCTGTATGTCTTCCTTGGAGAAATGTCTGTTTAGTTCTTTGGCCCATTTTTTGATTGGGTCATTTATTTTTCTGGAGTTGAGCTGGAGGAGTTGCTTGTATATTTTTGAGATTAATTCTTTGTCTGTTGCTTCATTTGCTATTATTTTCTCCCAATCTGAGGGCTGTCTTTTCACCTTGCTTATAGTTTCCTTTGTTGTGCAAAAGCTTTTAAGTTTCATTAGGTCCCATTTGTTTATTTTTGCTTTTGTTTCTAATATTCTGGGAGGTGGGTCATAGAGGATCCTGCTGTGATTTATGTCGGAGAGGGTTTTGCCTATGTTCTCCTCTAGGAGTTTTATAGTTTCTGATCTTACATTTAGATCTTTAATCCATTTTGAGTTTATTTTTGTGTATGGTGTTAGAAAGTGTTCTAGTTTCATTCTTTTACAAGTGGTTGACCAGTTTTCCCAGCACCACTTGTTAAAGAGGTTGTCTTTTTCCCATTGTATATCCTTGCCTCCTTTGTCGAAGATAAGGTGACCATAGGTTCGTGGATTTATCTCTGAGCTTTCTATTCTGTTCCACAGATCTATATTTCTGTCTTTGTGCCAGTACCATACTGTCTTGATGACTGTGGCTTTGTAGTATAGTCTGAAGTCAGGCAGGTTGATTCCTCCAGTTCCATTCTTCTTTCTCAAGGTTACTTTGGCTATTTGAGATTTTTTGTATTTCCATACAAATTGTGAAATTATTTGTTCTAGTTCTGTGAAAAATACCATTGGTAGTTTGATAGGGATTGCATTGAATCTATAGATTGCTTTGGGTAGTATAGCCATTTTGACAATATTGATTCTTCCAATCCATGAACACGGTATATTTCTCCATCTGTTTGTGTCGTCTTTGATTTCTTTCATCAGTGTTTTATAGTTTTCTATGTATAGGTCTTTTGTTTCTTTAGGTAGATATACTCCTAAGTATTTTATTCTTTTTGTTGCAATGGCGAATGGTATTGTTTCCTTAATTTCTCTTTCTGTTTTCTCATTGTTAGTGTATAGGAATGCAAGGGATTTCTGTGTGTTAATTTTATATCCTGCAACTTTATTGTATTCGTTGATTAGCTCTAGTAATTTTCTGGTAGAGTCTTTAGGGTTTTCTATGTAGAGGATCATGTCATCTGCAAACAGAGAGAGTTTCACTTCTTCTTTTCCTATCTGGATTCCTTTTACTTCTTTTTCTGCCCTGATTGCTGTGGCAACACTTCCAAAACTATGTTGAATTGTAGTGGTGAGAGTGGGCACCCTTGTCTTGTTCCTGATTTCAGGGGAAATGCTTTCAATTTTTCACCATTGAGGGTGATGCTTGCTGTGGGTCTGTCATATATAGCTTTTATTATGTTGAGGTATGTTCCTTCTATTCCTGCTTTCTGGAGAGTTTTAATCATAAATGGATGTTGAATTTTGTCAAAGGCTTTTTCTGCATCTATTGAGATAATCATATGGTTTTTATCTTTCAATTTGTTAATGTGGTGTATTACATTGATTGATTTGTGGATATTAAAGAATCCTTGCATTCCTGGGATAAAGCCCACTTGGTCATGGTGTATCATTTTTTTAATATGTTGTTGGATTCTGTTTGCTAGAATTTTGTTAAGGATTTTTGCATCTATGTTTATCAGTGATATTGGCCTGTAGTTTTCTTTTTTTGTGGCATCTTTGTCTGGTTTTGGAATTAGGGTGATGGTGGCCTCATAGAATGAGTTTGGAAGTTTACCTTCTTCTGCAATTTTCTGTAAGAGTTTGAGTAAGATAGGTGTTAGCTCTTCTCTAAATTTTTGGTAGAATTCAGCTGTGAAGCCATCTGGTCCTGGGCTTTTGTTTGCTGGAAGATTTCTGATTACAGTTTCGATTTCCTTGCTTGTGATGGGTTTGTTAAGATCTTCTATTTCTTCCTGGTTCAGTTTTGGAAAGTTATACTTCTCTAAGAACTTGTCCATTTCTTCCAAGTTGTCCATTTTATTGGCATAGAGCTGCTGGTAGTAGTCTCTTATGATCCTTTGTATTTCAGTGTTGTCTGTTGTGATCTCTCCATTTTCGTTTCTAATTTTGTTAATTTGGTTCTTCTCCC